TGGAGAGGGGGAGAAGGGGGGGGGGGGGGGGGGGGGGGAGGGGTCGGGCGCGTGAGAGACTTTGAGTTTTGTTTTTGTGCACACAACGTAGAGTGAGCTCGAGAGATGGGTTCTGTGGTTTTATTCAAGCATTTTATGGATTTTTAATGAGAGGAGGAGAAGAAGGTGACTTTTGGCCACGACACAACACAACCAAAAAAGAATAGTATAATGATTTAGACCCAAAAAAAAAAAGGTATAATGCTGTCTTACTCATCACCCCTTAATTTTTACTTTTTTGCTTCTTGTTTCTGTCTTTTATTTCATATTGGCCCCAAAACAAATCTTTTATTTCTTAATTTCTTACTTCAATTTGCACCCTTATTTTTCCCATCCACTTCTTTTTTTCTTTGACTCCATCTTTTCTTTTTTCTTTTTTACTTTGATTTCAATTTTTCTCTTTTGTGAAATTGGTATATGCTTTACCAACCATAACAAGGCTGTCCATAATACCAAACCACATGGGTAGCCTTCTTTTCTTCCTTCCATTTTCTTTGAAACAGAAAAAGGAGGCGATGCGGTAAGAGCTTTTTTTGTGGGTTAGAGGCACAATGGCCCTTCTTTACCTAAATCAAATCTCATGTTTCATGCTTCCATAACTCGCATTTGAACAACTTTGCTCTTGTAAGCATATGAGTTGTAATCATAAATTAAGTATGATTATTATGCTCTATAATTTTGGTTGTCAACTTTAAACCAACTGTTAGATTAGATTTTAAAACGAAAATCGGCTAACGTAGGGACAGAACCACCCTTGCAACTTGGGTGCCCTATGACCCTGGTGTGAGGGGTGGTTAGGGATAGGGTAGGCTGGTTCTTGGATGTTTTTCCCTTTTTTTTCCTAATTTTGGGTATGCTGCCCCTATTCCGATAGGTGGTACAATAATGCGATATCCCTAACATTACTATAGGAAAAATAGAAAACTAATAATCCTATATAGCTAAACGCCTTCAGGTCATGTAAAAAATCCTTTCAAACTCTAAACACACGTGGCGTGGATACACACGTTTACTCTGTTAAACATTGTACCTCAAATCTTGAAAACCTCAAGGGCCAGCTTGATTGTTTTTTTAAAACAGCTTTTCAAGAAAAAGTCAGAATCTGGCTTCCGTCTAAACAAGAGGAGGAAATTATTCGCTATAGCCATAATAGAGGTATCAGGTTTCTAATAGCTCAGCAGTGCAATAATTCATTATTCATGCATGCTAACACAATCATCTAATAAAAAGTTAATAAAAATTTAGGGGCCTCCAAATGTTTTTAAAAGCCCAACATTATATTATATTTGTGAGTATGTGTAGTTTTTTTGTATGTAAAAAAAAATTAAATGGATGCAAGTACGTGAAAATAGACGAATGATGATCTTGATTCTATTTGAGGGTTCTAACGTAATTGATACTACATATTTTGGTTTAATTTATGATTTATGAATTTTAAAATTTGAAAAATTGTTAATTTATTTATACATATAGGGCCTCATCAGCTTTCTTCGCACAGGGCCTCCATATTTAATGAACTGGCTCTGTCCATATTCTATAAAGCAAGATGTTTTAAAACTTGCTTAATGGCTTTGGGTTCCCCACGAAATAAAAATAATCCAGATTTAGGTCAAAAACAAAAAACACGCAACAAATTAATTGAGGCAAAGATTAGGAAGCCCAATTAGATTTGCCCATTGCAAAAGGGGAATTGACAATATGATGCAAAACATATAATTAAAAGCAGATCATAAATGTTTATTATTGTTTCTAGCAAGTGATGACATTTTTTATATAAACAAAAACGGTAGATTGCGTTTATATATAATTCAAGCATAAAGACCGTCAATCACAAAAGCCAGTACAAATACAGATAACCACAAGGTTATTACAAATACGGAAGCTCACTATCTATAAAAGGTTAATCCAAATACAGAGAACTCCACCGATAACATTAGGCACACAAATGTACCTCCATACATAACCATAAAATGTCAAAGAAATTCTGACATAAAAGTGGCAAACTTGCAAAAGTGAGGCAAGTGATGACATTTAAATCCAAGAAATTTGGTAATCACAGCTTAGGCATTAGCCCCCACCCTACCTTTATTGACAAGGGCAGAAACCGCCGGGCGAAAAAACAGTAAGAGAACAGAACATGCTGTAGGATATATGATCCTAATGTTCATTATAAACAAAGCATTATATAAATATATTATGGAATATTTTTAGTGCAGTTACTGCATAATAATACCAACAAAAATTTGTTCAAATTTATAAATAATGCTTAGTGCGTGGAGCCTCATCAGCTGATGGATCAACTTTTCTTCAGGCCAAAGGAATAAAGGGGTCAATTTAAAATAAATAAATAAATAGGGAAATAAATGGCTGAATGGGTAAACCAAGTGTCAAAAGGTCTGGACTTGTATCACAGAGTTATTTTTGTAGTAATTAAAGGGGAAATGGAATAAATTGTAGTGGCTGCACCACTATGTAGCAACCTCTTTCTGGTAAAATAAAATCACTTTGTGCACATTAAGTCATTACTCACTTGTAATAGTTTATTG